GCACCAAGAGGTCCCTGGTTCAATTCCTGGTCAGGGCACATAGCCAGGTTGTGGGCACATCTCCAGTGAGGGGCATGCAGGAAGCGACCAATTGATGTTCAATGTTTCTCTCTCTTTCTCCCTCTCCTTTCCCCTCTCTCTCTAAAATCAATAAAGAAAAAAGATATTTTTTTAAAGGAGAAAAGCATAGTAAAACTAATGGGTAGCAGTTCATGCAGGGCCTTTTAAGCCATTGTAAGGACTTTAGCTTAAATGTCACTCCTCTCCCAGCCAGTGTGGCTCAATGGTTAAGTGTCGACCCATGCACCAAGAGGTCACCGGTTTGATTCCCAGTCAGGGCACATGCCCAGGTTGTGGGCCTGATCCCCAGTTAGGGGCAGGGGGCATGCCGGAGGCATCCAATCCATGTTCTTTCTTACCGATGTTTCTCCTTCCCTAAAATCAATAAAGAAAAAGAAAACAAATTTTTATTTTTTATTTTTTTGTCTACAAAGCTCTTTAACCTTCAATTTTTTTTTTTTTGGTTTTGTTTTTTATCTTTATTGTTGAATGTATTACAGATGTTCCTCATTTTTCCCCCATTGACCCCATCCTCCCCAATCCTGCCCCACTCCTACCTTTTCCCACACTGTTGTCTGTGTCCATGATTATGCATATAAGTTCTTTGGTTTATTTCTTCCCCCACCCCAAACCCCTTCTCTTTGAGGTTTGTCAGTCTAGCAACCAATTTGTTCTTCTTTTTTTTTTTTATGTTTTTATTTATTATTATTTTTTTTAATTTATTTTTTTTTTTTATCCTCATCCGAGGACATTTTTGCATTTTTTGTACAGACAGAGTGGGAGGGAGAGAGAGGAAGAGAGAGAGAGGGAAACATCGATGTGAAAGGGACACATCGAGTGGCTGCCACCCGCACGACCAACCAGGGCTGGGGACAAACTGCAACCGAGGTACATGCCCTTAGCGGGAACCGAACCCGGGTCTCTCCGGACCGCAGGCGGACGTTCTAACCGCTGAGCCAAACCGGCCAGGGCCAATTTGTTCTTCTTAATCCCTTCACCTTTTTCACCCATTCCCTCAACCCCCCTCCCATCTGGCAACCAACAAAATGTTCTCTGTATCTATGAGAACGTTTCTGTTCTGCCTGTTCATTTTGTTTGTAGATTCCATTGTCAATAAATATGTATTCATTGCCATTTTGTTTGTTCATATATTTTATCTTTTTCTTCAGGAAGACCCTTCAACATTTCATATAATAATGGTTTGGTGGTGATGAACTCCTTTAGTTTTTTTTTGTCTGGGAAACTCTTTATATGGCCATCAATTCTAAATGACAGCTTTGCAGGATAGAGTAATCTTGGTTGTAGGTTCTTGCTTTTCATCACTCTGAATATTTCTTGCCACTTCCTTCTGGCCTGCAAAGTTTCTTTTGAGAAATCAGCTGACAGACTTATGGGAACTGCCTTGTAGGTAACGAACTGCTTTTCTCTTGCTGCTTTTAAGATTCTCTCTTTGTCTTGAACCTTTTGCATTTTGATGATGGTGTGTCTTGGTGTGGGCCTCTTGGGGTTCATCTTGTTTGGGACTCTCTGTGCTTCCTGGACTCGTATGTCTGTAAGTTAGGGCGGTTTTCTGCCATTATTGTTTCCAATAGGTTTTCTTTTTTCTTTTTCCCTTGGAAATGATTGTATTGGATATGATGGTTTCTAAAGTTGAACAGTCAGAATAAGGAAGCATTTACTCATTAAAGATTTGCTAGTAATGCCATTAAATTTAATCTAGGTAATTGGATTTTTTACATTTTGCTCAAAATATATGTCCTTTTTCATATGTCTGATGATTAATAGTCAATATTCTTGAAAAAAGTTTAAGTATAATTTGTAAAAAATGAGTTTTAGTTTAGTGGGTGATTTGAAAAGAAACTTGTAGGGTATCAGTAGGTAATTAACACATTTTCCTTTAATTTTTGTTTCCAATTTTATTGTTATATTTCTAAAGCCAAGGCATTTTGAGTATTGATTCATTATATATATATACACATATATATAAACACACACATATATATGCACACATATATATATATGTGGTGTGTGTGTGTTTACTGATTTAATTTTTTTTTGTTTCCAATAGGCTTTCGATTTCTTGTTCTCTCTCTTCTCCTTCTGGCACCCCCAAGATGCGAATGTTGGCACGCTTGAAGTTGTCCCAGAGGCTCCTTACACTATTCTCATTTTTTTTGGATTCTTTTTCCTTTTTGCTGTTCTGATTGTTTTTTGCTTCCTTATATTCCAAATCAATGGTTTGCTTCTTAGCTTTACCTACTCTACTATCGAATCTGTGTAAATTATTCTTTCAGTTAGTGCCGCCTTCATTTTTGACTGTGCCTCCTTCATTTCTGACTGGTCATTTTTTATGCTCTTGAGGCCCTCACTAAGTTTGCTGAGGTTCTCACTAAGTTCATTGAGCATCCTCATAAGCAGTATTTTGAACTTAGCATCTGTTATGTTGCTTATCTCCATTTCGCTTAGTTCTTTTCCTGGAGATTTTTTCTGTTCTTTCATTTGGGACCTGTTTCTTTGTCTCCTCATTTTGGCTGCCTCCTGTGTTTGTTTCTGTGTATTACTTAATAAGAGGTATGGGGCTATTTGAGACCAGATGCTGCTTGTTTGAAAGAATTTAGGAAAACCTGAAGCAGGATCCAAGACAGGCCAATCCTATGGTAAAGCAACTGGCAACAGCTTGGGTAGGCCTGAAAGTTGGGTGGGGTGGGGCCTCAGGGAGTCACCAGGTTGGGGCAACCAGTATGAGCCAGGTTGCTGGAGTCCCAGATATGGCAGCTGTCTGCCACCCCAGGAAAGGCTCACCAAAGGAACAAAAGCTTCTGACAACACATTTATCCTGGAGAAAGCTCCCTCTCCAGCCCTCGCTCCAATGCCAAACAGCTCAGTTCTTCCCTGTATGTCTCTGGCGCCCCTCCAGCTGCCTCCCCTCCAAGCTTAGAGGGAGAGAGTCTGATAAGTCTGTGCGTGGGCCCTTTAAGAGGAGCTTCCTGGGCTCCAGCTGCCTCAGCCTCCCTGAGCCTCAGTTCCCACTGGTTTTTCCAGCCAGAAGTTATGGGGACTTCTCTTCCTGGCACTGGAACCCTGAGCGAGGTGCCTGGTGTGGGACAGGGACCCCCCTCGTCCTCAGAGAGGACCTTCCCAGCCGAGGTGTCCTCCTGATTTTTATCCGCCACACGTGGGTGTGGGACCAGCCCCTCCGCCTCTGCCCTCCTACCAGTCTCGATGTGGCTGCTTCTTTAATTCTGTAGTTGTAGGACTTCCATTCAGCTTGATTTCAGGTGGTTTTGAATGATGGTTGTTCTGTAGTTTAGTTGTAACTTTGATGTGGTTGTGGGAGGACGCAATACCACAGTTACCTACGCTGCCATCTTGACTGGAAGTCCAAAAAAATTGTTTTAAAGTCACTCCTCATGGAGGCCTGCCTACCCACCCACTTTAATGTTGCTTCCATCTTTGTCTTCTTCATAGCCCTTACTTTTTCCATACTAGGAGTTTGACTCCTTAATCATTGTCTCTCTTCTGTTCATAACAGGCCTTGAATCATACTCAATTAATTTGTTGAGTGAAGGATAAATATGCCTTCAATATCTTTAATTTACTAAATGTTTCTACTCTTCATATAGGGGCCCATAGGGACACAATAAATAGATGACAGAAATATTAACATGGACTCATTAACGAAACTTGAGCTAAGAAAAACTTTGTAGGATTCCTATAATGCTTTAAGGCCTCATACTAATTTTCCCAAGTCTGGCTAAAGCTGTAATGTTTTCACGGATTTGTTGTACCTGTTCATGACTAAGACAGGGGAACAAATCACAGTTAATCCGGTTTAGCGATGGAGTCAACACACTCCACTGCTCTCCAATTTACTTTTAAGGGAAGATAAGAGATTTCAAATAAGCCAATACAAGATTTAGGAGTGATCTAGCTGAGTTATACCTCTGCAAGTTTAGAGAAGCAAAAAGGGTCTGAGGGTGACATAAAGTACAAGGGCTTTGGCTGGGAAGAAATGACCAGTAAGAATAAATAGCGGAATGCGTCACACAAATTCAAGTACTGCACCCAAAGATACGACTATGGCTAAAGGAGCGGAAAGAGGACCGAAATTAGGTGACCCACCGAGGAACGGGAAACGTGTGTTCAAGTGCATGAAGTTGAAATCGTGTTCCTTAACCAAAGGCCATTCTGGGGTGGGTAGGTATTTCGGACGTGCTAGAGATGGCACCTCCCAGGCTAAGTCTCCTTCCTCTAGTAATTTCAGGTGGGCAGGTGAGGGCGGAGCTGGAGAATGCCTGCTTTGGCCCTGGGGAGGGCCTTGGAGAAACTCCTTCCTCCCGGACGAGTTCTGAGCATTTTCCGAACTGAACTAGGAAAACCAAGCGGTGCCTGGGCCCCAGCTCTCCCTGGCCTCGGGCCTCCCAAGGAGGCTACATCTCGGGCTTGGCTCGGAAATCGGTCAGGGTTTGCGAACGACCAGTATGCGGGCTCGGGTTTCGGCAGCAAGAGGGAGAACGCCCACCCTCACCCCTTCCCCGGAGGAAGGCGGTGGAAACCCCGCCGGCACGCGAGCAGTGCAGCGGCCAGGAAGGTGGGGCGGGGCCGGGGCTGCAGGTCGCGGCCGAGGCGGAGGAAGCGGCCGCCGCCCCAGCTGAGGCTGTGTGGCCCGGGCCTTCCCGCGGGGGGCGACGAAAGCGAGTCCTTTGGAGCTTTTCCACCCGGCTCGCTCACGTCTGCCCGGCCTGGCCCCACCCGGCCCCGCCCCAGCCTCTCGGGCCACCGCCTCCTCCCCGGCAATGGCAGGAGGGGAAAACCTCCGCCAGCGCCTTTAAGAGGCGTGGCCACGTGCTCCGCCCCCCACCTACCCTCCGCGCGCCAGTAAGGGGTGGGGCGCAGGAGGAGGTGTCCGGGCGGAGGGGGGTGGGGGGTGGAGCGAGGAGTGCGCTGGTGCGCAAGCGCAGTGGCCGGACGGCAGAGCGTGTGTTTCCAAAATGGCGGCAGCGATGGATGTGGATACCCCGAGCGGCACGAACAGCGGCGCGGGCAAGAAGCGCTTTGAAGTGAAAAAGGTTGGGTCTCGCCAGCGCCTTCCTCAAGGAAGCTAGACAGGCGCGGATCTAGCTGGCAGGCCCGAGGATGACCGAGGCGCGGGGGAAAGGGCTTCATTTCGGGGCGTTCCTTGGACTGGGTACCACGAAAGGAAGCTGGGAGGCGGGTCTTAGGGTTGATCGGCATGATTGCGGCCCACTGTCAATGGCAGTATTGGTTTCACTAAGAGGCTGAGGGGCCAATCACGGAGGTGCTTATTGAGATGCGCGGGTTTGCGATTTGGCTACGGGAGCCAAGCGTCTGAGTTGTCACTGGTGTGGTGGTGGTGGTGGTGGTGTTGGGGGCGGTGAGGTGGGGGGGGGGAGAGAGGGGGTGGAAGGGGGAGTCGGAGCGATGCGCAGTGTGGAGGATGGGGCAGTGCAGCGAAAGCCGGGAACCTGAAGTCCTACCGCATTGGAGGCCTCGGAGGAGCCGGCTGATCTCTCTGTCCCGCCCCTTTCAGAAGCTCGGGGTCCCTCTGATCGTGAGGAACCCATATCGGGTCCTCGCCTAATCGAGGCGTCCATTACCATTAGCCCCTTCTCTGTCCCGAACCCCTCCTAGTAAAAGTGTCTTGAGTGAAACTCTTGTTGCTTTTCAGAGGTCTGTTGATTTGTCGCAAGCTGCCCCAGTCATATCATATCAGGAATCCCCCCTCGAAAAACAAAAAAAATCATTATGGAATTTGTTAAAAAGAAAATGCGAGCCAGCCCAAATCGTGTCGTTTAAGGGAGGGCTGAGTACTAGTTGCAAATGACCTGCTAAAAGTGGGAAAGCAGAAAGTGTGGAACGTGCCTTTTTGCATGAAATGCTTTATAGTGGTTTGCTAAGAATTTGGAAGAAAAGTGCCGATTGCCACCTACGATTAAAAAAATCTTTTCAAAATGAAGATTCTGAAACAGGGTCGGTGTTATTCCTGGAACATCTGGCTAAACACAGACAATATTCCCCCTCATAGTTGCTTTTTGGCGTTTCATTGTGGACACTGCGTGCTCAGTTACAACCAGCAGCCATATTGAAGAATAATAGAAGTAGGATCTTTTTCCTCCTAGTTGAAGCTGTCGGATGAAAAGTGCTGAAGAAGTTACTAGACACAGAATTGGGTTGAAAGAGAGGACAGTTTGAAAAATGGCCCCAAATTTTTGGGGTGAAAAGAAAGTTTGGTAATATTTATAATTGCAGAAGCCATGAGATTGAATTACATAAATTCCACTTTTTAGATAAACTCTTATTGGAATTACCTTAACTAAATATGACTCTGAATACGAAAAGTTGAGAACATCAGGTTACTTGATTGCAGGAGCTAAATAAAATTCTAGTGAATTCTAGAGTTTGTTGTGAAGTAATCTGTAAGATTTAAGTGATGACCTTGTTCTGTGCACTGACACTGTGTAATTAGTTATACAGCTTATCCCACAATTACCCATTTTGATCCAATCATTATCGTAGTTTATTCTGTTCCTAGTTTTCACTTCCCCACTGATGTATCCAAAGCTGTCTGGAAGAGCAGACACTTATGCAGAAATTGAGCTCTTCTGCAGGTGTCAGAGAAACCTTCACAGTAATTCAACTTATTAAACCTGAAATAAGCACTTAAAAATTATTCCTGATTTGCTTACATTGATATGGCTGACAAAATTATTTTAAACTGTAGGAAAGAGTAAAATTAAAAGGTGACTCATTAATTTCTGTGTTCATATTCTCAAATATCTGGAGAATGGGTGGGCATATGTGTAACTTACTGTTGCCATCTAATATAAGAATAAAGTAATATCCAAAAACTATTTGGTGGTCCTTGTGGCCAAAGAGATGATAACTGCAGCTGTAGCATGAAATGAGTGTGTGTATGTGTATCACAAGAAGAATGCTTTGTTCCTCCCTTTTTCTCTTTGCAGTGGAATGCAGTAGCCCTCTGGGCCTGGGATATTGTGGTTGATAACTGTGCCATCTGCAGGAACCACATTATGGATCTTTGTAAGTAATTAGAGGAGGATGGAAAGAAATTGAAAATGTTACAGAGATTGTGGCTATCCTGATGTGACTAGTTTTATTCTTCACAATGAAATATAAAGCATAGTCAGAGCACTTGGGGTCTTTTGCATCTAGTTCATTGGTATGTTTGAAATAGAGTAGTTTTTTATGATGTTCTGGAGGCATACCCATCTCAGAATAAATCTGTTCAGTCTAAAGATGACAAGGCCACATTTAGAATGAATTGTGGACCCAGAGACACTCTTTTATTTATTTATTTATTTATTTATTTTTATTTTTTTTATCCTCACCCTAGGACATTTTTTTTTTTTTTTTTTTGCATTTATCTTTTAGATAGAGCAGGAGGGAGAGAGGGAGGAAGAGAGAGAGAAACATGGATGTGAGAGAGAGACATCGAGTGGCTGCCACACGACCCAACCAGGGCCAGGGACAAACTACAACTAAGATACGTGCCCTTAGCGGGAACTGAACCTGGGACTTCTCTGGTCAGCAGGCCTACGCTCTAACCACTGAGCCAAACCGGCCATGGCCAGAGACACTTTTGATTCCTATATTTTCCATCTGTTAAACAGACTCAAAGGCAAAGGTGAAAGGAAGAAAGTAAACTTTGAGCTAAAATATTCAATCAGAGCTAGTTTTTGCTGGGCAAGATTTATAAATAAAAGAAGGCTTACGTAAAGGATTTTCAGTCTTAGCCCCAAACACAGTTAAGAGGACATCACTGCCAACATGTAATTAGGCAGTTAATTGCATAAATAAATTTCATTTAAATCTCCACATATTCCACTAAACGTGGTGGATTTGATTATAGCTATTGATAGACTCAGTAAACTTATAGCAAATAGGGACCAGAATGTTGACCACACTAGGAAGAATTGAGATTACTTTTTCATCCAGGTACTAAAATGGTTTGTTATTGAGATCAGAAGTAGAGCAAAGAAATTTCAAATTTCTAGACTAGAAATTATAGGCACTTATTTTTTAAATCATTCACCTGCCTCTCCAACTTCATCTTAAGTCACTCTCCTGCTCACCCTGGTCGTTTTCTCTGGCTTTCCATTCTTGAATTATCCATGGTCTTTTTTAGAGTCCTCACATATACCGTTCTTTATGCCTAGAATATTCTCTGCCTCTTCTCCACCCACTTTGGTCTAACCAGCACTGTTCAATCTAAATATTAACCACAAATGCAAGCGCATACGTAATTTAAAATTTACTAGTACCCACATTAATAACATAAAAAGAAACAGATTATTTTTATTTTATTTATCCTACTATATCCAAACTATTTTAATTTCAACATGTAGTCAGTATTTTAAAATGAGATCTTTTACATTATTTTTTTGTACTAAGACTTTGAAGTGTATTTTACACTTACATCTAGTCTAATTTTTTGTTTTTTGTTAATCCTCACCTGAGGATATTTTTTCCATTGCTTTTTTTTTTTTTTAGAGAGAGAGAGTGGAAGGGGTGGGGGGGAGAGAGAGAGAGAGAAACATCGCTGTGAGAGAGATGTATCGATTGGTTGCCTCACACACACACCCGACCAGGGCTAGGGATCGAACCTGAAACCCAGGTACATACCCTTAACCAGGAATCAAACCTAAGACCCTTTGGTGCTCGAGTTGACACTCTAACCACTGAGAACACCAGCCAAGGCTAGTCTAATCTTAACTCAGACTAGCCAATATCAAGTGCTCAATAGCCACATATGGCTAGTGGCTACTTCATTGAGTAATGCAGAACTAACCTTCACATCTCACTTGAACTTGCTTGAAGATGTTTTCACTGACCAAAGTTACACACAAACACAGGATATGACAGTTCTGTTAAATATTCCTAAGATATCCTGTAGTTTCCTTTGTAGCAACCATTTAATTTAATTTGTCCCCTGTCATGTCCATGTTATTTACTGCTTTATTCCCAGCATCTAGCATAGTGTCCAGTACATTATGGGTTCTCAGTAAATATTTGCTCAGTGAATAATAAAACAACATTGGGGAATAGTTTATGATCATTGCAATTTGGAAAATACAAATCAAATATTTTGTGTTGGAAAGTGATCATAGCAGGTGTTGGTAGTTTATTGCCCTTGGTTTTTTTGAGTTTTGATCCTGTTTACCATTTCACACAATAGTCAAAACAGATCAGCAGCTACCATGATGTTTAATACAGATAGAAGGAACTCATCACAGAAGAACACACGCACATTTTTAAATGTGTTTGGGTGGGGTATTTGATTATGTGCTTGCCAATTTCTTTGCCATGGGTTTTCACAAGGAATTGTACCCAGAGAAAAATTTTACTTTATTGGGGCTTTCTTCTGTAAATAGTTATTAATGATTTTATATAATCCTGATTCTTTTTTTTTAACCTCTACATTTAAGTAGTTGTGTCTCTCTCTGGATGGAAGAGAATGCACTTCTTAGAAAGACCATGACAGACAAAGCCCATTGACATTCTGTCATTTCTTATAAGGGATCATTGTAGGCTTCAGTTAGACACCTGCTTTATCGTTTATTTTAAAATGTCAGATGAAGAAGTAGAACACCGAACTATAACAAAAAAGTTATGAAAGTATTTTCAAGTTGTATCTTTTATTCATTCCATATTTATATCCTAGGCCTTTCGCTAGACACCAGAATAAAACAATGACTGAGATCAAGTCTTTATCCTTAAGAAATATACCCTTGTGTTTAATACAGACACTAAAGAGAAATCTGATTGCCACAACTGGGCTTGTCTTCCTTTCAAAAGTAAATGGAGCCCTGGCCGGTTTTGCTCAGTGGTTAGAGCGTTGGCCTGCAGTCCAGAGAGACCCGGGTTCGGTTTCCACTAAGGGCACGTACCTAGGTTGCAGTTTGTCCCCGGCGCTGGTTGGGTAATGCGGGTGGCAACCGCTCAATGTGTCACTTTCACATCAATGTTTCTCTCTCCCTCCCACTCTATCTGAACAAAAAATGGAAAATGTCCTCGGGTGAGGATTTAAAAAAAAAAAAAAGTAAATGGAATATGATTCTTGAAAAAGACATTTTGTTAAAATGAAAATAAGAATCTTGGTTTATCAATGGCCATTTTATAATATATTCTGGTCTGGCAGTAAATGAATAATTATATACCTAGCTGTAACGAAATAAGAGTGATTATGGCTGTGTTCCAGTTGGACTCCCCTACAAAGCATTCTTGGTGTGAAGACTTCTTTTTTTGAGTCCAAATTGATGCTACATGCCTGTATTTTTTTTTTTTAATCCTCACCCGAGGACATTTTTCAACATTTTGTTCAGATAGAGTGGGAGGGAGAGAGAGAGAGAGAAACATCGACGTGAAAGGGACACATCGAGTGGTTGCCACCCACATGACCCAACCAGGGCCGGGGACAAACTGCAACTGAGGTACATGCCCTTAGCAGGAACCGAACCCGGTTCTCCCCAGACCACAGGCCAACACTAACCGCTGAGCCAAACTGGCCAGGGCTACATGCCTGTATTTATTTAATTGATTCTACAGCTTCATATTTATTTATTTTTAAATATGTTTTTATTGATAGAGAGGAAGGGAAAGGGTGAGAGAGATAGAAACATCTATCAGCTACCTCCTGCATGCCCCCAGGATTGAGCCTGATACCTGGGCATGTGCACTGACCAGGAATTGAACTCATGACCTCTTGGTGCATGGGACGATGCTCAACCAACTGAGCCATACCATCTGAGGTTTGTATTTATTTTATTTTATTTATTTTTTTTATCCTCACCCAAGAACATTTTTCCATTTTTTGTTCAGATAGAGTGGGAGGGAGAGAGAGAGAGAAACATCGATGTGAAAGGGACACATCGAGTGGCTGCCTCCCGCACAACCCAACCAGGGCTGGGGACCAGCTGCAACCGTTGTACATGCCCCTAGCGGGAACCAAACCCGGGTCTCTCTGGACTGCAGGCCGATGCTCTAACCACTGAGCCAAACCGGCCAGGGCTGTATTTATTTTATATTGATCCATTTCTTGGTGTTTTACAGAGTTGCTGAAATATACAATCTATTTTTTTCCACTACCTCAGGTTATCTAGTTCCAGATGAAGAGGGCATCCAGAAAAGCTTAGGCCCAGCCTTTGTCCATAAGAAATTAGTCTCTTCCTAAAACCACAATTCCATCAGTGTTTTGAAACTGGAATCTGTTCACTTTCAAGATGAAGCCATTGCTTCCTTAGCTTTTATTGAAGTTTCAAAGTTGCCAATCTTTGTATATCATATGAAATAAGCATCTGCCTTTGCCGGGGGTATGATAGGAACCTATTACACGCTGCTTGTCTGTCTGCTCTAGGTTGACTGTTCTCCTGTTCTTTCCCGTTTAAATTAATGAGTAATTCTCTCTGCACCAAAGCTTGAAGACATTTTGAGAACATTTTCTATTCGTATTTAGTAAATTTTTAAAATATATTTTCTATTGATTTTTAGAGAGGAAGGGGGAAGGAGGGAGAGAGAGAAAAACAGCAATGACAGACACATTGATTGGGAGCCTGCAACCTGGGCATGTACCCTGACCGGGAATCAAACCAGCAACCTTTTGGTCCATGGGTTGATGCTCAACCACTGAGCCACACTAGCTGGGCAGGCCAGTAATTTTTCATGCCATTTTATCTGGCATTCTAGATTGTAATTCTATCCCTCCTATATATTTTTGTTTTTTGTTAGGGATTTTTCTGGCAAGGAATATATATTTGTCCCCCATTCTCTCTGTTTATGAAAGTAGTTTTTGTTTGCCTATTCAAGTACTGAGAGCCTACTTTGCATTTGGCATAGGAAGATAGAGCTCTTTAAAAATATCTAGACCTAGCCCTGGCTGGCATGGCTCAGTTGATTGGAGCATCCCGTACACCAAAAGGTGGTGGGTTCAGTTCCTGGTCAGGGCACATACCCAGGTTGCAGGTTCAATCCCCGATTGGGTCTCTGGCCAGAGGCAGCTGATCAATGTCTCTCTCTCTCTCTCTCTCTCTCTTTCTCTCTCTCTCTCTCTCCTTCCCTCCCTCCCTCCCTCCCTCTAAAATCAATAATAATAATAAATACCTATACCTAGAAAAATATAAGCATGATAATGTACCTTCAAACAGTTTTGTTATTACTTAAATAATTGTGTCTTTTATTTAACTATTTTCATAATACATAGTCCTCATTTAAGTGAGAGGATCCAACTTGAAGGACCTCAGATTGCATTTTCTCAGCCATCCCTTTATATGATAGTGCATTCACAGCTCCAATAAATTCTTGAATATACTGCATAGATGCTGGATCTCCACTTTTATCAGAATTAAAATCCGCTTATTCTCTTTATAGTGTGAATCAGCAAAAGCAAGTTCTGAGATTCCATATTCTTTGCCTTCCATATTTTCGAAAGGAACAAAACCCTTATCATGGTATAGCTCTTCCTTTAAGACCATTAACATCTCAGCATTATTTTCTTTTTTTTTTTCTTTTATCCTCACCCGAGAACATTCTTCAATATTTTGTTCAGATAGAGGAGAGAGAAACATAGACGCGAAGGGGACACATCGAGTGGTCGCCACCCACACAACCCAACCACGGCCAGGGTCAAACCGCAACCGAGGCACGTGCCCCCAGCGGGAACCAAACCAGGGTCTCCAGAACGCAGGCCAACGCTGTAATCGCTCAGCCAAACTGGCCAGGGCTCAGCATTATTTTCTTACAGTTTTACTATTTTCCTCCTATGGAAGTTTGAAGTAATTGTCTCCTATTAAATAGTCTTTCCTGAAGCTTTTTCTTCTTTAAAGGGAAGACTCCATTTGGTTACTACCCTGAGAAAAAGCAAATTATACATGAGTAATTTTTTTTTATCTTTATCCAAGGACACTTTTTGCACTTATCTTCAGAAAGAGCGGGAGGGAGAGAGGGAGGAAGAGAGAGAGAAACATTGACGTGAGAGAGACATCGAGTGGCTGCCATCCACACAACCCCAAGCGGGGCCGGAGACAAACTGCAACTGAGGTCCATGCCCTTAGAGGGAACCAAACCCGGACCTTTCGGGTCCTCAGGCCAACACTCTAACTGCTGAGCCAAACCAGCCAGGGCTACATGAGTAATTTTGTTCCTTGAATATTTATTCGTAGTAAAGTTACTCATCACTTCTTGATCTCAGATTTTCATTTTATTTAAGTTCTCTTCTCTTCCCCCTCTATGAAGTTGATATGGCATACATTTTCAGTAATTTGCTCTGTCCACCAGACGGAATCACTGCAAGGACCACAAACATCAGTAAGTGGTGGGTCCCAAATCTCTAACCCAGTAGTGGAACAGATTTGTTTTGTTGACAGTGTTTTAACATCTTAAGATTTTCCTGGCTGGTGTGGCTCAGTGGTTGACCATCAACTCATGCACCAAGAGGTCGCCGCTTCAATTTCCCTGTCAGGGCACATGCCCAAGTTGTGGGCCTGATCCCCAGTGGGCGGGACATGCAGGAGGTGGCCAATTGATGTTCTTTCTCATTGATGTTTTTATCTCTCCTTTTTCCTTCCTCTCTCTCTAATATCAATAAAGAAAAAATATTTAAAGAAAAAAAAAAAGGCCCTGGCCAGTTTGGCTCAGCAGTTAGAGTGTCAGCCTGTGGTCCAGAGAGACCCGGGTTCAGTTCCCGCTAGGGGCACGTACCTCGGTTGCAGTTTGTCCCCGACCCGAAGTGGGTTGTGCGGGTGGCAACCACTCGATGTGTCCCTTTCACGTCAATGTTTCTCTCTCTCTCTTCCTCCACTCTGAACAACAAATGGAAAAGTGTCCCCGGGTGAGGATAAAAAGAAAAAAAAAGGGTCTAGCCTGACTGGTGTGGCTCAGTGGTTGAGCATCAACCCATGCACCAAGAGGTTGCAGGTTTAATTCCTGGTCAGGGCACAGGGCACATACCCCGGTTGTGGGCCCCATCCCCAGTGGGGGGCATGCAGGAGGCTGCCAATCGATGTTCTCTCTCATCGATGTCTCCATCTCTCTCCCTCTCCCTTTCTCTCTCAAATCAATAAAGAAAAAAAAATTTTTTTTAAACGCCTTGATATTTGATGTCTTTGCACAGAGCACACCCTATAGTTTGCCGCAGGCCTCTTCACCCCCTTTTATCTTACTGTTTTTTCAGTTCACATATGTCTGCCTGACCCCTTTAGGCTTTGGAGCTTAACATGGGCAACTCTGGGTGTTCTAAGGCCCTATAAGTAAGCATTCACCAACAACAGGGAAGAGAGGAAGAGATGCTAGTTCTCAGAACAATAAGAGTTATGAGATGATTTTAAGAGTTTATGAAATTTACCAAATTAAAAGGAGTCACTTTTATTTGGACAAGTCAGATTATGTTCAGAATTAAAAAGTGCTTTTTTTCTTTGTTCTGTTCTTGAACAAGGGTAGGTAATCATTGCAAAGTATACTGTTAAGTCACATCTCTGCCTTATCTGTTCTTCACCCCTTTTCACATTCATTAAGAAAACAATTATTATCGATTACTCACTGGAGATTTTGTTCAGGTGTACACCCCGCCCCCCCACTCCAAACATGTCATTGTAATTGTGCAGGTAAGACTGCTATAGATTGAAAGGTCATTGCTCCTACGGTCTGATCTTGTTGCTCTTGTTCCCACAGGCATAGAATGTCAGGCTAACCAGGCGTCTGCCACTTCTGAAGAGTGCACCGTTGCATGGGGAGTCTGTAATGTAAGGAAATGTTTTTCTCTGTAAGCATGGCTTGTAAACGTATTACCACTTATTCTGCTTTGCCAGTCTTGAAAATAACTAGGAAAAAAAATGACTAGCCCACCTTTCAAAAGGTATACAAATAGTAAAAAAGATGAAATCTTTATGCTATTCACCTGTTACAGAGTAAAAATTATTAGTTGTTGCAGAGGCACTAGTTTGTCTTAACTACAGAGTGGGTTCACTTTTGTTAGCCATATTTGCAGATTCATCTTTGGGAATTGCTTTCAGAGCCTGTGGCACAGGTTTTGGAATATTCTCCTATTGGTAGAAATCTTTGCCTTCTTAACATATTTTTTAAAATTTAAGGGTAGGTGTCCTGTGGAACTAAGTTTGGTGAATAAATTGAGTGTTCAAGTTTGTGTGTGTGTGCGCGCGCGTGCATATACGTTCGCGCACGTGTGCACACATGCGCTCTTGTGCATTTTAAGTTTGGCAAATGTACTAAATTCAGATTTTTTTGTTTTTGTTTTATTAACATGGCTCATGCCAGAAATGTTTTGTGCAATATCGTTGGACTGAATGTACAGCCTTCCAGGGTGTGACAGCTGTGAAGGATAACAAATATCAAATATGTTATTTCTAGCATGTGTTAAAAATTCATTTATAGCCTTGTAATCCCAGTCAGATGAGCTAAAATTGTTCTGTCTGGACCTCCTATGCCAAGGTTATAGAGGACCCATAGCCTCCTGCATGGCACAGGCCTAAGAGGCTTGGAGTCAGACCACCATTCCCTCATTGTGACTTAACTTACTAAGTGACTTCGGGCAGGTATTTGACATCTCTCAGCCTGGGTTCCTTTGTAAAATAGGGCTAATAGTAGAATGCATAGTTTAATCAGAATGAAATGATTTTATGTTCAAAGTGCTTAGAACACCTGCTGACAAATAGTAAGCATAAGTGTTTGTTAAATAAATACAAATTTGGCCCGGCCAGTGTGGCTCAGTGGATTGAGCGTCATTCCATGAACTGAGAGATCCAGGTTCAATTTCCGGTCAAGGCACATGGCTGGGTTACGGGCTAGATCCCCTGTGGGAGGCATGCAGGAGGCAGCCGATCAGTATTTCTCCCTTACATTGATGTTTCTCTCTTTCTCTAAAAAATCAATACAACATTTATATTTTTTAATCCTCATGCAAGGACATTTTTCCATTTGTCTTCAGATAGAGTGGGAGGCAGAGAGAGAGAGAAAGAGAAAGATCAGTGTGAGAGAAGCACATCCACTGGTTGCCTCCTGCACGACCTGACCAGGGCCAGGGATGAACTGCAACTGAGGCACGTGCCCTTGACCAGAATCAAACCCACGACTCTTGCCCTGGCTGGTTTGGCTCAGCAGTTGGAACATCGGCTTGCGGATCAGAGTCCTGGGTTCAGTTCCCGCCAGGGGCACGTACCAAAAAACAAAAAAAAAAACCCGCGACTCTTTGGTTCGCAGGCTGACGCTCCCAACCGCTGAACCAAACCAGTCAAGGCAATATAAAACATATTTTAAAAATTATTAAATAAATACAAATTTGGAGTACTGGTGGTTACTGAAGAGATAATAGTTATCAGTTTTGGGGGCTCACCCACACCTTGTGGTGACTGTCTTAATTCCGTCTGGGCCCTCTGGGTAGTTTCACAGAAGCCTGTATTGGCTAAGGGACAGGGTTTATTGTTTATGGGGATAAAGAAATAAAATATATTGGCTCTTTGTTCTCTCTGGCATTTAGGCATATACTAAGAACCTTGTTACTCTGTGGTAGAAGGAAGAGAGTGAACTTCCCCTAAATTTGGCTAAGGAGAGACTTACAGGGAGAGCCTGCCATAAAGAGGTGTGGTAGAAACCTTTGGACTAGTGCTGGGTTCTAGTTCTGGGTCTTTTACTAACCAGCTCCATGAACTTGGCAGGTCACTTAACTTGTCTGGGTTTCAGTTTCCTGTCTATAAAATGGAGATGATAATACCCATCATACTTGCTTGCCAGGGTTGCTATAATGCTTAGTGATTGACTATATGTTAACATTTTCTCAACTGTAAAGACTGGTCAGTGTACTTTGAGACTGCTCAACATTCCCATAATATGTCTTAGATGTCTTAGATTATTAACAAGAAGAAAGTTTGGATCAGGCACATTCAGAGATGGTGTTACCTGCCATGCAGCCTCATTTGTATCCCTTCTTTCCCTCCTTTTCTGAGGTAGTTGGGGTGCACAAGGACCCTGTACTGCTGCAGAGTGCCTAATGGGGGTGGGGGAAGGTGGAGAAGGTTGTCTTGGATACTCTTAGGTGAGTCTGTTCCCATGATTGAGAAAAATGCCTCAGCTTTCTGCCTTTTAGAAATTTTGGGGGGTTTTCCCCTCATAATGGGTTGTTTGAGAGTCAGCAGGAAAGGGGTCTTCCAAAAGCTGTCACTCTGGGAGAATATTTGTCCTGTTGAATATTCCTAGTGTAGTAGCTTTGGATTCTGCTCTTAATTACTGAATTCTAATTTTGTCTTTGTCAGAAGACAGTTCACAAGATAATAATCCATACTGTGATTCTTCTTTAAGTCCCATGCATGTTTTGGGAGAAGACATAACTCACCAGATTTCAAGGCTGTTATTAAATCAAGCCTGCAAAAGCTTTCATTGTTTTTGTTTTGTTTTTTTATCCTCACCCGAGGACATTTTTTATTTTTTGTTCAGATAGAGCAGGAGAGAGAGAGAGGGAGAGAGAGAGAGAGAGAGAAAGAGACATCGACTGGCTGCCACCCACACGACCCAATCAGTGCCGGGGACAAACTGCAACCAAGATACACGCCCTTAGTGGGAACCAAACCCCGGTGTCTCTGGACTGCAGGCCGACGCTCTAACCGCTGAGCCAAACTGGCCAGGGCAGCTTTCATTGTTTTGTTGAGTGTCAGCATTTCTCTCCTGTACCCCACCTAAGCTGACCCATCACAGATTAGATGAGGAGCAACACGTCTATTTTAATGCTCTACCCATGTGAGCAGGGGGAAGGAGTACATGGTCATTGCAGAGGTGTTGTGATGAGCATCTGCAGGTTATGAGGGTGCAAGGCACACAGGCTGTCCTTTTCCCCAAATCTAAAAGCCAACTCCTAGCTCCCTGTCAGTTACCAGTATTCTTGGGTCTCTTGCCTTTTTACTTCCTTCCTTGATCATGAATTAAGTCCTTTGATGCTCTTTCAGCTGCTTGTGGGCAGTTTGTTCATCATACTACTTCCTTTTACCCTGATTTTTTATCTCATTCCCTTTTAAGACTAAATCCCTTACCCATTAAAGGCTTATTGAGTACTGAGCCCTTGTAATAGCACTATGTTTATGAACAAGTCTGGAAATAAAGTTCTTCAAACAGAGTTGAGCCCCTAGGAAAGCTGAAGAAGTACCTATTTCAGCTTTGAGTGCGTGGCAGTGGCTGTGCACTACCAGGGGCTGAGAAGGCTCTTCTCCTGCGTTCCTATTCTTCCAAGGAGAGGAGAGTGCAGCTGGGACCAAGAAAGGGGAAGTTTGAAATCTGCATGTGTCCAAGGAATGTAAAAGTATCCCCTTACAGGCCGAATAGGACCAGGGAGCCACATTCCATTTTCCCTTAAGAGAACGGGAGAGAACTCACTGCTGGGCCATACACGGTTCTTTAGTGGTAATGACATTTCTAGCAAATATTTCATTTGAAATATCCTTGTATGGGTTGTGACCTTTTGCCTCTTGTTGTCTCTTGTCTCCCATTGTTCTTCTCCAGCTCCCTGGGTTACCACCCCACTGCATTTGAGAGATATTGTCAGTAGATGGTTGAGCCTACAGAGTTATTTTTAATAAAATGTATCTTTTCTTCCAGCATGCTTTTCACTTCCACTGCATCTCTCGCTGGCTCAAAACACGGCAGGTGTGTCCGCTGGACAACAGAGAGTGGGAATTCCAAAAGTAGGTGTCTGCCTGTTTCGATGTTGTAAGACTGGGCTTTGTGGTCAGTGCTGTTCTTTGTCTCACCTGAAGGGTGCATAAGCTTAAAACATGGAGCAAACCTTGTTTTATAAACAAGCTTTTGGTTAATTAAGGACTCAGATTTGTGGAAAGTGCACAAAGGTGTGGCCAACCTTAGAAGTTTTCAGCCTAGAGTTTTCCAACTGTCTAGAGTCTGTGAAAGTAGAAAATTTGAGAATCTGCAAACTATTAAATATTTTCAAAACCACATCCATAATAAGGTTCCAGGGGCTAACTAATGTCAGATATCTGTTTGGGGCAGAATCGTATCCACCTATCTTGTTTCTTTGGTTTATCTCATAATGATTAATTCTGATATAGCATTTATGATTGTCTCAACATCATTATTATGTAAATAAAACATGGCATGGTAAATTTTTAAAAATTCAAATGCTCAAAAGGATAGACCATAAAAGTGAGTCTCCTACCTTAGTCATCTAATCTCACTCCTGGAGGTGACCTTCAACAAGAGCTTCTTAGCTTTCCTGACTGTCTACCTATATGTACTTGTATGTATATGGGTGGGTATACATATATAATTTTTTCCTTAACATAAAATGAGCATCTTATATAGTAACTTACCTTGCTTTTTCATTTCATTTCATTTCTATATTCACACATATTGAACTACCTCCTTTCTAATGGTTGCAGGTTATGTTTTTATGTAGATATACTATAATTTATTTAATCAATTCCTGTTGATAGACATTTAGATTTCCAGTTTTTCACTGTTAAAAACAATGTGTAGGGCCCTGGCCAGTTTGGCTCCCAGTTAGAGTGTTGGCCCATGGACCAAAGGGTCATGGGTTCGATTCTGGTCAAGGGCACATACCTGGGTTGCAGGTTTGATCCCTGTGCCAGTCCAGGTACTGTGGGAGGCAGCCAATTGATGTGTGTCTCTCACATCAGTGTTTCTCCTCCCCGCCCCCCATTTTCTCTAAAAAAAAAATAAAAATCAATGGAAAAATATCCTCGGGTAAGGATTAACCAAAAAAAAAAAAAATGTGTAGAGGTGAACATCCTTATGCATGAATCTTTAAGTAATTCTTAAAAGAGGAATTTATAGGTAAGGAGTATATTTTTATTTTTGATGTGTGTGATTTTTCTTTTCTAAGAATATGTACTAATTTACACTCCCTTTATTTTTATTATTATTTTTTATCCTCACCCAAGGACATTTTTGCATTTTTATCTTGAGATAGAGTGGAGGGAGAGAGGGAAGAAGAGAGAGAAACATCGACGTGAGAGAGACACATTGAGTGGTTGCTACCCGCACAACCCCAACAGGGCCGGGAACAAACTGCAACCGAGGTACGTGCCCTTAGCGTGAACCGAACCCGGGCCTCTCTGGTTCGTGGGTTGATGCTTTAACCACTGAGCAAAACTGGCCAGGGCTACACTCCCTTTAAACAGTGCATATATACCCATGTACATATAAGTATGTATATGGAGATAGGAAAGCTAAGAAGCTCTTGTTGATGGTTACCACTAAGGGATTCGAAGATTAAGGTTGGAGACTCATTTTCCATCTTAGCTACTCTAACAGTTGAAAATTAATATTCATTGTATTTAAAAAAATTTTTTGAAACGTATTTTTATTTAAATGAGTTTTTATTAATAGGATATGATTATTTTTAAATACAAAAAATAGTGTTCTTTTTTAAATGCTTAGAAATTCCTTATTTGTACAGTTATTTTGCTTTTAGATTTGATATTTACTTGGGTAAAGAGGTTTGGAAGTCATACCAAATGCATGGTCCTTTTCAAGAAATTTGCCAAATACTCAGTATCTAACTCATACCTGTGCACTGTATTTAGCAAAGTGTATGTTAAGTAATGTGTAAGAAATGTAAATGTCTAAGAGAGTCCTCTGCTCTTGGGGAGCTTGCATTCTGAATGGAACCGTGACAGTAATACATGCCAAGGCAGAAGCACTCTTCTCCGGACCGCAGGCCGACGCTCTAACCGCTGAGCCAAACTGGCCAGGGCAGAAGCACTCTTCTGAGTTCTCGTGAGGTATTTGTGACTTGCTCTTCTCTAGAGCAGGCTCAGGATTCTGTTTTAGACCAAAACTGTCTCATGTTGTCTATTACATATGCCCAGGACTGAGCCTAAGAAGTGGGGAGTGTGAAGAGTTTCTTATGTTGGGCTTTGAAACTGTCACTGTATCCAACCAGTGACTGCCAGGCAGTAGTTTGCAGTGCATTGGGAAAGCAAATTCATTAGGAACAAACTATAACATTCTTTAATCTGATAGGCAACTTTTGGGTCGTTCTCCAGCCCACTAACAAACACTAGAGCTCTGCCCACTAACAAACACAAAAGTTGGGCACAACTGTTTTAGACAATATTCAAGTCGATTTCTTATGAAAAGAGCTTTAAGGATCTAGTAGTCCTTCAGGATGATTGAAGCAGTGATGGGGAGTTCAAGTACCCTGGTTTTCATCCATGTAACAAAATATTTTAATCAGAGGCTAACTACCCAAAAAGAACCAGGACCAAAGATTAAGTAAGGTAATGAAAGTATTCAAGAAGACCATTTGTGTGTGGAAGAAATTTCCTGGCCTTGTTTACTTTTATAATCTTGTTAGAGCCAAATTTTGACTTCTGGGAAATCAGAAACCACTTGAAATCTATGCTTAATTTTTTCACTTTCTGTAGTGCTAAGTGCAGTCAGAGCTGTAATGACAACTGGTGATAGATTTCGAAAATGAAGGCTGTTCTGTTACTATTCTGTATTTGCCTTACCTCAAACTGGAGTGGAGGTTAAAAAAAAAAAAAGTGCCATAGGTAGGAGGTCAAGAGCTCAAACCATCTGAGCCACTGACTGGAGTCAACGGGTGCAGTTCCTTCTCACAACCACCAGCTCTGACTTTTCTCTCACCTCCCTAATACTTCCCAGCATCTCTCTGGTATCTGGAAGGAGAGTCAGGTGGGTATGGTTGAGTCCCAGGGAGGGACCTTTACTACGAAGGGCGAGGGGGTCGTAGGTAAGATGTTACAGCGTATCATAAGATGAAAGGGGCAAGAGACCAGTGTCATAACGCAGTCTTAGAGTACACTTACATATTTTCAAAGTTTTCGTCAAATTTTTTCATATGTTTAAGCAGGTTTTATAGTTTCAAAACAGGAAATTACTAAGGAATTAGTAAAACAATTTACTTTGTCTTTCAGGTATGGGCACTAGGAAAAGAATATTCTTCCATCAAGCTCAACTGTTTTTGTTATTCATTTAATGATTTGTCCTTCTGTTACTTACTTGTAAATTAATAGATAGAACGGGGTCTTTTCTGCTTTGTCTTTTCAGTTTGCTATTCCTGCAGTCCTATTGTGTTCTGTGTCAAATAAAATCCAGTTGGATTCTAGAACAGATGCTGTCTCTTGTGTATGTGAAAAAAAAGTGAACATAAATGAAAGGGTCCCCCCTTCCTAGCTTGGAAAGCCAGCTTGTAAAAGTGAGACATATGTTCATTAGAGCAAGAGCATAGGTATCCTGCACGCACATCACTTGGTCACAAGGCTTCTGTCCACTGCCTGGTTGCTGATGGCAATCTTGGGCAAGTCGCCTCTGCTCCAAGCTTTCTTCCTCTATAAAGTGTGGCTTCTACAGACTCAATGGCATCATGTGGGCACAGAACGAGGCTTTGTAAACTTTAAGAGCACTATATAAATGTTAACTTTGTATATGACATGTTGCTTTCTTTTCTTAGTTTAGAAAAGTAAACTTGAAAAAAACCTAATATGTCCTTTTGGCTGGCAAAAGAATAATTTATGAACTCAAGTTAAAAATTGATGTCACTTTGAATTAACAAGAGAATTCAAGTTTCTCTCACCACCACCACCTTTGGAAATTTGTTTGAAATGTGTTAGCCATGGTGGACTTGCCAGCCAGTAATAGTCCATGTCTGTGTAGAGTCTTCACCTGAGAAGCAGTCAAGTTACTGCAGTGGTTCTCAAAGTGTGATCGGAGGACTCCTGAGGACGCCTAAAACCCTTTTAGGAGATTCACAAAGTTTCTTTTCCAACTGCCTATGTGTGTGAGGGCAGCTTTTCTTTGTAATCCAGTCACAGCGACGTATTGAATGAAGCAGCTACAGAAGAGATTTGCAAAAATGTAAAACAATGCCACTCATTTAATTTTTTTTGTTTTTAAAAATAATTACTTGTAATAAAAATATTTATGTTAACGTGATGGGGTTTTGTTCTTTATAAATCTTTTAAATTTCTCGATTATAGTAACTATAGATAAAACCCATACAAACAAAACTTATTTAAGGGCTTCAGTTTTTAAGATCATAAAAGGATCCTGAGACTAAAAGATTTGAAAACCTCTAACTTAGTAATACAGAACTTTTAAGTTTTAATAACCTTGGGTCAAACCCAGCGTCCCCACTTAGCTACCACACATGCCTGGCACGTAGCACGCATTCACTTGGAGGTAGCTGCTACTGTTGCTGTTATTTTAGGATTTCCACCCGTGACAGAAATACCCTCTTTAAACCCCTTGAGCGTTGGTTGTTTAAACTGCATGAATACTTTCAGTAGCGAAAACCACGTTACTTTTCACACAGATGGACAAACTATGTATTTGGAGAGTTCTCGGGCATTTATCAGGCTCAGGACTCTTGGTTGCTGAGGAAGAAATCTAGCTCCTGTTTAGGCAAAGGGACGTTTATTGGAGGAATGTGGGGCAATGTAATAGAACAGAAGAAGGCTAGTAACACGGCTGGACCTAAGAGCGAATGGGGCCAGGGGATCGCTGCTGGTATTCTCATGCTGCTCCTTCACAGAGCTAACTTCAGATTCGGCCAGTAAACAGTGCTGTTACCACTGCCACCTCTTCTCCCACAGCTGCCACGAGAGAGGGGCTCTCCAAGCTTCGATTCTGAAAGTCCCAGCTGGGTCAAGTGCCCATAACGACTAACTGGTAGATTCACGTAGAAAAAAGTGACTGCCTCGAGAACCTTGTAGTTGGAATGTAGGGTAACAGTTCCCAGGAGAACGGGAGTGGTGTGAGACAGACAAAAGGAGGTGTCTACCTAAAGACTTGCCAGGAAGATTGTTTTACATTGAGCCAAAATGTCTTCTTGCAACATATTTATACAGTTATTTTTATGCTGCCTCATGAAACTGGTGGACATAAATTTCCCTGAGATATTAGTGAAATTAATTGCTGAGTGCCTACTGTGGACCATACCTAGAGGACACAGCTGAGTTAGAACAAGTCTCTGCCCTCGAATAGCTCACAGTCTAGGAGGAGATTGCTAAGAGAGTGAGTGAATGTTAGAAGCTAATTCTGGAAAGCTTAACAGGGTCCAGACTGGGCTTGATCCTGAGGTGCCCATTCCCTTTTGGTTTTCCTTCTGACAACTGTGCCCTATAGGAGCTCCTCTTCTTCAATCTGCCCTGAAGGTTCTGGGCTCAGTTCTGCTCTGTCTGGGAGACCTCATCATCTGTAGTCAAAACAGTACTGTACCCTCAGATGGGTTCCTGACAGCTGACCGTGTGCCTCTTCCCAGAGTTGGTGCACGTTAGGCAACGCACCTTGCCGCAGCCTGTTCAAAGTCTATGATGGGAAATGAATTCTGCAAATTTTGGGAAATGCTACAAATCAGAGCATCTTTTCCCTAAAGAGCCTGCTGGTCATTTTCCAGCACACACTGCACAGTTGTGCCCATTGTATCCCTGGCTGTGTATCTCAAACACAAACTCGGTCATTAACCTCTACTCACTCTGTTGTTCTCTCACTAAAATCTGTGTCTTCTCCATTCCTACTGCCAGCGATGGAGCCCAACACTCTTCATTTTTCTCGAAGAAGATCAAAGTTCCCTGACTGGCCACGCTGTCGTTAATTTCCTTGCTATAATTCGAAGTGAATCTTTAATTTGGTCTGATCCCCTTCCACTGGTTGAGAAACCCCATACCTTGATGGAGGCAGAGTTCATTTCCCATCATAGACTTTGAACAGGCTGATACTGGCTCTCCAACTGCCTTGCAGCTGAGGCAAGGTGGGTTACCTAACTTCCACCAATCAGGCAAACTCACCCTGTCATCCATTATGATGTGGGCAGCAGCAATGGCCCAGCGCAGGTGGCAGAATGGGTTGTGACATCCAGTGTTTAACAGCATCAACAGCCAACACCTTCCCAAGACTAGTTTTGTGGCATTGTTTTGGCTGTGATCCGAGTGGCTACCCGTTTTCTGACCTCGATTCTCTAACACTCCTACTGCTACCGTGAGCTCTCCAAGTCCATTTCATTCATTCATTCATTCATTCATTCATTCATTCATTCATTATTTTAATCCTCATCTGAGGATATTTTTCTATTTATCTTCAGATAGAGTGGGAGAGGGAGAGAGAAACATTGACCAGGGCCAGGGACGAACAACAGCCGAGGTAGGTGTCTTTGACTGGAATCAAACCCGCGACTCATTGGTCCGTGGGCTGATGCTCCAACCACTGAACAAAACCGGCCAGGCTCTCCAAGTCCTTTTAGTATTGACTCTGCTATAAAAAGATCAGCCAGCTCTTTGGAGCCCGCTGCCCACCCTCTAAACTGGGCCCTCACCCCATGGTCTACAGAACCCCACATAGCTTGTAATGTTACTGAGTAACCCCGTTTCTGCTCATGTCTTTCCGGCTTTGCATGAGTCCCTCAGCCTATTGGCAAAGCTAACCTCAGTTTGGAGAACTTGGCCTGATAAGCTTTAAATATTTGCATCATTTAACTTGGAAGAACCTGCCACCGGCTTCTCATTTAACTTGAAATTGAAACTTCTCACCCAGGCCGACTCATCTCCAGGTGAGCTGACCCCTGCCTTTCTTCCTGATCTCGAAGAGTGTCATCTGCTCTGGTGTTCACAGAGCTCTAACCACCCTGGAGGGAGTCAGCAGCCGCTTGTGGCCTTGGCCTGCGACTCCCCCATATTTCCGAGTGGCTGACTTGAGTCTCACAACACACCTTAACAGCCACCTCCCACTGGAGGACTTCCCTGCTGCCCTGTGGAAATGGCCATCCAGTTCATTCTATCACATCAGCCCATTATATTGTCTGGAAAGCACTTAGTGCTATCTAAATTGTCTCGGTCACTTATGTGATCACTTGCTTCAAGTCTGTCTAGCCTGATTCTGAAGCTCCAGGGTGGCAAAAACTTCATCTTTCCTGTTTGTCCCTGAATCTCCAGCCCTACCACTGTGCCTTCATTGGATAAATAAGTAAAGAAATGAACAAATGAGCTGCCCTTATTTTTATTTCATTCATGCCTGCCAAGCCAATTGTCTGCTCAGGATTGGGTAGTCCACTGGGAAAGAATATTAAACTGATGGTGTAGATGTATTTTTTCTGATCCCTGTAATAGTTGTGGTTCCTTTTGAAATTATTTTTTTGTGTTATATAAGCCTAAGAGCTTGTAATTATTGTTGATGTTTATTATTATTTATTATTCATTGATTGTCAATGATGTGTCAGCCATCAATGGAAAATTTGCCATCCACTTAATTTTCAACAAAATAGAATCAGTAAGTGCTATTACTGCCCCCATGTTACAGATCAGGAAACGGAGGCTCAGAGAGCTTATGTGACTAAGTTCTCATTGTAGGGAATGGTAGAGGCAAAATTTGAATCAGGGTCAGTCTGACTCCTGTTCCTCCCTAGGCATGGGGTTGACACCAGGCTCTTTCCACTGCCCACTCAAAGGGTTCAGCTCACCCTCTCTTGGTCTTTGGTGATAATGATTCCAACTGACCCCACCCCTTGCAGAGGCCTACCCACCCTACAGTGCCATCATCACCCATGACTAGAATAGGCAATCTTCATTTTAAATATGGCCAGATATTCCCTTTTTAGCTTTTTTCTCTTTGAAAGACATGAACTTTAGGGAAGAAGGAGCAAAGACATCACCTGTTGTTTTTTGTTTGTTTGTTTTGTTTTGTTTTGTTTTTTAGGACCCCAGTTCTTAATATAGTAAAGGTGAGAGTTGAGTGTACAAATCCATAATAATAATGCTGTTCATTAAATTGAGGCTGGAGGAACAGCCAGGTTCCCTGATTAATAAGGAGCTGTGACATTTGTATAGCCTGTAACTATTTACAAAAGGCTTTCACTCCCTTCTCTCATTCCCCCCTCACACCAGCCCTCTGAGAGGCAGCGGTGGAGAGGAGGCAATCTTGGAAGGAGATAAACCTGGATCTACATCCCAGCCTGCCACTGTGGCCGTGTGACCTTGGGCAGGTCACTCAATCGGAGTCCCTTGTTTATATTTTATTTTAAATTATCATGCAATAAACTTGACTTAAAAAAATCTTGGTGAGCCCTGGCCAGTTTGGCTCAGCAGTTAGAGTGTTGGCCTGCGGTCCGGAGAGACCCGGGTTCGGTTCCCGCTAAGGGCATGTACCTCGGTTGCAGTTTGTCCCTGGCCCTGGTTGGTCGTGCGGGTGGCAGCCACTCGATGTGTCCCTTCACATCGATGTTTCTCTCTCTCTTCCTCCCGCTCTATCTGAACAAAAAATGGAAAAATGTCCTCTGGTGAGGATAAAAAAAAAGAATGTCATATAAGGGAATCATACAGTATGTCATTTTTTGAGATTTTCTTCTTTCTCTCAACATAATACCTTTGTGATGAATTGAAGTGGTTGTGTGTATAAATAGTTTGTTCCATTTTGTTTCATCATGCGGATGACCACAACTTGCTTATCCATTCGTCTGTTGAAAGATATTTGGGCTGTTTTCCATGTTTTGAGTCTCTTGTTTTTTTTTTGTTTGTTTTTGGTTTTACACGTTTTTTTAAATGGTGGTAAAATAATACATAATATAAAATTTACCATTTTAAGTGTACAATTCAGTGGCATTAAGTATTACATTTAAAAAGTTGTATAACCATCACCAACTATTTCCAGAATTTTTTCATCACAAACAGATACTCTCTATGCCTTAGACAATGATTCCCCATTCCTCTCCAGCCTGGCAACCGCTGTCCTTTCTGTCTCTATGAATTTGCCTATTCTAGGGACCTCATGAGTGAAATCATACAGTATGTGTCCTTTTGTGTCGGACTTCCTTCTCTTAGCACAATGTCTTAAAGATTCATCCATGTTGTAGCTTGTGTCAGCATTTCTTTCCTTTTTAGACTGGATAGTATTCAACTGTATGTGTTTACTACATTTTGTTTGTGCTTTCATCTGTTGGTGGATGCATGTAATTTCCATCTTTTGTCTACCATGAATAATTCTGCAGTTATATACAAATATTTGAGAGGAGCTCTTGCCCCTCTTACTCTTCTCATACAAATATTTGTATTTAATGTATACAAATATCTCTGAGTCCCTGCTTTCAAGTCTATATACCTAGAAGTGGAATTGCTGAATTGTATGGTAAATTCTATATTTAGGTCTTTTTTTTAATCCTCACCAGAAGATATTTTTTCATTTATCTTCAGATAGAGTGGGAGGGAGGGAGAGAGAGGAAGAGAGAAGGACAGAGAGAGAAACATTGACCTGAGAGGGACACATAGACTGGTTGCTTCCCACACGACCCTGACCAGGAATCGCAACCGAGGTACGTGCCCTTGACCGGAATCGAACCCTCCACCCCATCGATCCATGGGCTGATGCTCCAACCAGTGAGCCAAACCGGCCAGGGCTATATTTAGCTTTTCAAGGAACTGCCAGATTGTCTTCCACAGGGGTACGCTATTTTTACATTCCATGGCTTAAACAACAGAAATGTATTTCTCACAGTTCTGGAGGCTGGGAAGCCGAGGTCGAGGTGCTGGCAAATTTGGTATCTGGTGAAAGCTCTGTTCTCTCTTCTGGGCTTGTAGATGGCTGCCTTCTAGCTCCGCCTTCAACATGGTCTTTCCTTGGTACCAGTATGAGCACTCAGGGACATAGAGAGAGAGCTCTTGCCCCTCTTCCTCTTCTCATAAGCACAACAATCCTATTGGATTAATCCCCACTCTTATGATCTCATTTAACCTTAATTATCTCTTAAAGAGCCTATATCCAAATACAGTCACATTGGAAGCTAGGGTTTCAACATATGAATTTGAAGGGCAGAGAGGGGACACAGTTCAACCCATTGTGACATCCTTGCCAACACTTACTATTTTCCATTATTTATTTATTTTAAATATGTTTTTTATTGCTTTTTTTTAGAGAGAGAGAGAGGAAGGGACAGAGAGAGAAACATCGAAGAGAGAGAGAGACATCAATCTACTACTTCCTGCATGCCCCCTGCTGGGGATCCAGTCTGAAACCCGGGCATGTGCCATGACCAGGAATCGAACCAGGACCTCTCAGTCTGTGTGACAACACTCAATCCACTGAACCACACCAGCGGGGCTATTTTCCATTTTTAAAAATAATAACTATCTGAGAAGTATGAAGTAGTATCTCATTGTAGTTTTGATTTACATTTCTCTAATAACTAATGATGTTGAATGTCTTTTCATGTGCTCATTGGCCATATTTATTTATTTATTGATAAATAAAACCATATATTTATTTACACCAAAGAATCCCAACACTGGATCTTTCACATAGGAAGGACAAAGTATTATATATATACACACAGCAAGGGGTGGCAGGGCTGTAACAAGAGAGTTTATAGTTTTCCCACAACGACAGGTCTGCCATTTCGGTTTCACTGGAGACAGTGGCACTGCTCCTACCTCTCAAATACATTAACAAGACTGAGGGGCAGGTCTTCTCACTGGACGGCATGTGAGGAAATGGGAAGGGAGGAGGAAAAGAAAGTAAGAGCTTAAAATGAAACAGTGTGGCCACATTTCCCATGAGCTCTTAAAGCATTGTTAGCATGAAACCTATATAGACAATTTTTTCTTTTGTAAAAAGCAACAAATTGTACCCAGTAACTAACTGAATTCAAAATGGCCAAATCAAAGAAAATGTAAAAATATTTTGTTTTCCCCCTCCTACCGGCTATAGAGTATGTTGGGAAATGAAACGGGAGAGGACCAAGGTACGGAGCTTGGGAGGGAAGGTTATTCAAGTTTTTAACTAAATTGAAACTAAACTTATAAGTGAGTTGAATTTAGGGTCAGGTCAGTAAGACATGATTCATACTGAACAGAAGTTTTCAGGATGTGTCAGCATTTTGGGTAGGTTATTTCAGCATCTCAGTGTAACCATTAAGACATATTTCTACTAGATTCACCAGGATAACCCCACTGAAGCACTTTTGGAGTATAGTTATGTAAACAATGAGCAGGACACTGCCTTTATAAGTCGGGTCTTCCCTCTTTCCTTCCCACTTCCCTCGAAGAAGCTACATTTTTGTAATCTCTGGAAAAGAGCATGAGATACGAAGTGTGGGATGGTGGGTGAGCAACGGTGGGCACGGGAAGAAATCCCCACCTAAATGCAGCAGCAGATATTGAGGCTGGTTCATCTTTGTTCTTTAGTGATGAGGAACTGAATCTGGCAGGGGAGAACACAATTTGTCCATGAAATATTCCACTTGCAGGTAGTTTTTCAGGGATTCCCGAGTTATGAAAGGTTCGAGTGAAAAAAAGAAAGAAAAAAAAAGAAAATCAGCCTATTATAATTTGTTTTTATGACTGAACTACTATAAATCCACAAGCAACGGTTCACACACGGTGCTTCTTAAGTATTTCACCCCTCCCCGCCAGGCGCAAGCTGCATCAAGGAGAGAGTGGACTCTCCCACCTCTGCTCAGGATTAGGAGACAGAGGGGCCATTACTGCTGAGCGCCAGCCGCAGCCGGAACAGGCCTCCCAAGGGGGTTGGCAGCAGCAATCACTGGTGAGCCTGCCAGAGGTCCGAGGGGTGAAGGGGTTGGCACTGAAGAAATCCCTGACATCATATTGGCACTGCTGACAGGTGCACTGCCTCCTGGCACGTTAAATGAGCCCATCTGAGCTTGGTCCTTCACAACAGTGTAGAAGTTTGGGTGCTCCATGGCTTCTCTTGCAGTGAGCTGTGACTGGTGGTCATATCGCAGCTGCTTGTCCAAGAAATCCAGGCCTCAGGGCTGACAAGGTGCTGGTTTTCATTGTGGACAAAGCATTCCCATTGCTTACGGGAGTGTCTGCCCAAGGTATCATTGAAACGTGGATCTAATTCAATGTTGTATTTGTCAATATAGTCATATAAATCTTCTGTCCCCAGAACCTTGGCTATCCTCACCAACTGATCATAATTGTCACGTCCATGAAAAAATGGCTCCTTCTGGAAAATCGTACTTGCCAGCATACAACCCAAGCTCCACATATCCAAACTATAATCATACATCTGATGGTCTACAAGTAGCTCAGGGCCTTTGAAGTATCGAGAAGCAACTCGGACATTATATTCTTGGCCAGGATGGTAAAATTTAGCTAAACCCCAGTCTATTAGCTGTAGCTTTCTGTGCTCGTGATCAATCATGACGTTATGGGGCTTCATATCTCTGTGCATAATTTCCATGCTATGACCATAATCCAGGGCCTTCCGAATCTCACACGTGTAAGACCGAATGTCATAGTCTGTTAACATCTGGTATAATTGCTTAAAGTCTGTGTTGTTTACGTGTTCAAAAACCAAGGTGGGAGTTCGTGACACGGGGTCTTTTACAATGTCTGCCAGTGTGATGATATTGGGACCACCTCGCAAATTCTCCAAAATCTTTATTTATTTTATTTATCTTTTTTATCCTCATCTTAGGACATTTTTCCATATTTTGTTCAGATAGAGTGGGAGGGAGAGAGAGAGAGAGAAACATTGATGTGAAAGGGACACATCGAGTGATTGCCACCTGCACGACCCAACCAGGGCCGGGGACAAACTGCAACCGAGGTACGTGCCCTTAGCGGGAACCGAACCTGGGTCTCTCCAGACGGAAGCCGATGCTCCAACCATTGAGCCAAACCGGCCAGGGCTCCAAAATCTTTATTTCACGCTTGATTTTCTTCTTCTTTACTGGCTTGAGAATTTTAACAACAACTTTCTCATTATTTGTGATGTTGATGGCTTCAAATACTTCACTATTTTTACCCCGGCCTAATTTCCGAACCAGCTGGTAATCATCTTGGGCTCCCCATCCCACCACATGTGACTCGCAATCCCAGTACTCTCAGGGGCTGTGCGTATTAGCATCTGTGTAAACTCTGGCCCTGCTTGACCCAGGTCCCGACATGTCAGACAGGTTGGCGAACAAAGCTGAACTTGATGTTTGGAGATCTGGCAGTCACCGTGTTCTGGCAGCTAGGGGACGGGGTTGGACTTGGTTTCAGACCTATTTTCTGTGGTGGAAGCGGCCCTCTCCTCACACAGACAATATCTCCATTTTTATATCTTTTTTTTTGGTCAAACTTGCAACTCAGGAACATGCCCTTGACCAGGAATCGAACCCAATACCCTTTGGTCTGTGGGCCAACACTCTAACTGCTGAGCCAAACGCACCAGGACTTTATATCTTCGTTAGTTAAATGTCTATTTAAGTCCTTTGCCTATTTTTTAATTGGGTTGGTTGCTTGGTGATGATTTGTAAGAAGTCTTTATATAAACTGGATATTAAATCCTTATCAGATAAATGAGTTGCAAAATTTGTTTCCATTCTGCAGGTTGTCTTTTTCTTTTTTTTTTTTAAGATTTTGTAAATTGATTTTTTAGAGAGAGAGGAAGGGAAAGGGAGGGGAAGAGAGAGAAACATCGATGTGAGAGAAACATCTATCAGCTACTTCCTTCAAGCCCCCTACCAGGGATTGAGCCTGCAACCTGGGCATGTGTCCTGATCAGGAATCAAATTGGCAATCTTTCTGTGCACGGGAGGACGACCAACCAACTGAGCCACACCAGCCAGGGCTGTGGGTTGTCTTTTCATTCTCTCTCTCTCTCTTTTTTTTAAATCCTCACCTGAGGGTATGCTTTCATTGATTTCAGAGAGAGAGAGAGAAATAATGATGTGAGAGAGAAACATTGATTGGTTGCCTCCCATATGCATCCCAATCGGGGATCAAACCTGCCACCAAGGTATGTGCCCTGACCAGAAATTGAACCCACAGCCTTTTTGGTGTACAGGACGCCACTACAACCAACTGAGCCACCCTGCCAGGGCTCACTCTTTCTCTTTTTCTTTATCATTTTTTAATCCTTACCCAAGGATATTTTTTTGCTTCAAATAGAGTGGGAGGGGGAGAGAGAGAGAGAAAGAGAAACATTGATTGGTTGCCTCCCGCATGACCCCAACCAGGGCCAGAGACCGAAATGCAACTGAGGTACATGCCTTTGACCAGAATCGAACCCAAGACTCTGATCTGCAGGCCAACGCTCCAACTGCTGAGCCAAACCAGCCAGAGCTCACTCTCTTGAGAATGTCTCTTGAGCCCTGGCCAGTTTGGCTCAGTGGTTAGAGCATTGGCATGCGGTCCAGAGAATGTCCCTTGATGCACAAAAGTTTTTAATTTTGATTAAGTCCAATTTATCTATTTTTTATTTCGTTGCCTCTGATTTTGGTGTCATGTTTAGAGGCCATTGTGGCTCAGTGGCTGAGTGTGGACCCATGCACCAAGAGGTCACCGTTCGATTCCCAGTCAGGCACATTACCAGGTTGTGGGCCCAATCCCCAGTGGGGGGCATGCCAGCGGTGGCCAATTGATGTTCTCTCTCATCGATGTTTCTATCTCTTTCTCCCTCTCCCTTCATCTCTCTCTAAAATCAATAAAGAAAAAAAAATTTTTTTAAAGAAATCATTGCCAAATCTAGCACCATAACTATTTGCCCTTATGTTTCCTTCCAAGAGTTTGATAGTTTTAGCCCTTAGATTTAGCTCTTTGATCTTGAGTTAAATTTTGTATGTGATATGAGGTAAAGGTACAACTGCATTCTTTTGCATGTGGCTATCCAGTTTTCCCAACACCATTTGGGAAAGAGACTGTTCTTTCCCTCAAAATCAACTGACCATATTTCTGGGCTCTCTATTCTAACCCATTGGTCTACATGTCTATCTGTTTGTCAGTACCACACGGTTTTGTTTGTTAGAAGAGGATATTACCTTGTTTGCAAGCTGTCATGAGAATGAGAGATAATGCAAATGACGTGCCTGGCACAGAGCCTGGATCATAGTAGGTGCTTAACAAACAGCAAGCATCCTTAGGAGGAGTCCGGTTCGGTGCTTTCAGGTTGAAAAAAATCACAGACTGCCCTGGCCGGGTGGTTCAGTAGGTTGGAGCATTGCCCTGTATACCAAAAGGTTTCAGGTTCAATTACTGGTTGGGTGCATACTGGATAGAGGCAGCCTATTGATGTTTCTCTGTCACATAGAACTCTCTCCCCCCACCCCTCAAAAAAATCAATTTAAAAGGAAGAAGAAGCCCTGGCCAGTTTGGCTTAACGGTTAGAGCGTCGGCCTGCAGTCCAGAGAGACCCGGGTTCGGTTCCCGCTAAGGGCACGTACCTCGGTTGCAGTTTGTCCCCGGCCCTGGTTGGTCGTGCGGGTGGCGACCACTTGATGTGTCCTTTTCACGTTGATGTTTCTCTCTCTCTCTCCCTCCCACTCTATCTGAACAAAAAATGGAAAAATGTCCTCAGGTGAGGATTAAAAAAAAGAAGAAGAAGCAGAACTCAGCTTCCTTCAGATACACTGAAAAGTTCAGCTAATGGGAAATCCTCCCCCTCTGCACAATTGGCCTGTGGGATTGGAATCACTCCGGAGGCAACAGGCCCTCATCTGGTTGTCCCTGAGCCAGTGGCCACAGCTTCTCAGCACCTGAAGTAGATTTTCTGTTTCTGCTTCTTCCTTCTAGTGCTACTGTCTAAATTCTGATTCCCCGAAAGATCGTGAGACGAGAACTTGGTAGTTTAGTTTGGAAGAGATTCCAGGAAGCACAGCGAGGGAGAGGGACAGTGAGGTGGGGAGCGAGGAAAGCCAGCAGGTGGGGTACCTCTGCTGGGCGAGGTCCCATGGGGGCCAGCTGAGGGGCCACGCAGGGCAGCACTGTGGAGATGTGTCCACCGACTCCCACGCCTAAAGGTTTGAAATCTCTGGCCCTTTTGGGCTGCCCTGCACAACAGGCTGAGCAAGTTCCTGCAACTCCAGAAAACACCCTCCGGCTGCGAAGCAGAGCCAGGAGGGTACTGGAGGTGAATGCTGTCTGCGTACAGGGAACCATCTCCTGGACCTGCAGGTGGACTGAGAAGGACCAAAGGGACATGGGGCAGGGTACCTGCCGCTCTGCCCTCCTCCTCCATGACTCCTGTCTGCTCAGAGCTCCGACTTCTGCTTTGAGCTTAACCTCCATGTCTCTGGGTTTCCATGTCGCTGCTGTCCGAGTCTCTGTGTAAGTCTTGCATTTAACCTGTCCTTTGAGTCACCACCTTGACTGGGCAGGGCTTTCACACTAGCCTGGCTCATCAGCCTATGGAGCACTGACCCCCAAAGCCGCCCTGGCCTCCCTATTTCTGAGGTCTGAGGAACAGAGCGTAACGACTTTGCCCGAGAATTGTTTCTGCCTCTTTCCTCAGTAGGGGCTGCAGTGTGACAGCATCCAGGGTGTTCCGGATTACTCGCCAGTAGTACAGTTATCCCCTTTACAAATGAGGAGACTGGGGCTCAGAGCACTTTAGAGACTGCCTAAGGGCACACAGTTAGTTAAGGGCAAGCGTGGACTTGTATACATTCTCCTGACTCTAAATCTCATGCTCTTTCCACTCAGTTATTTTACTTCTTGCACCGGGACAAAAGCTTGAAGTGCTGAGAGTTACGAGAAGCTTCCTGTTGGGTGGGTTACCTCAAGATGAAAAGGGATCTCAGACTTTCAGGGTCCTGCGTTCCTGGATGGCAGAGCACAAGATTGGGGTTGTACTAAACCCACAATAAACCTGGACCTCTTATGTCAGATCACGTATCACCCTTTATGAAATTCTAGTTGAAGCAAGTGGTGGCAGACATCAAAGAATCCAGAAAAAAATTGCAGGAAAAGAACAAGAGATTGAGAAAGGTGCTGTTCATGCCTGTCGCTGTTCCTGAGAACTGGGGGAAAGCTCTTGTACCCATCATGTTCCTCGTGGCAAAGTGCAGACACCAACTGGCTAGCTGGTGCAGGATTGGGATTTATTGGTAGAATATTGAACGGCTCACAGAATGGCAGGAAGGCTAGAGAAGCAGCTTAGAAAACAGGCCTGAACCAGGAGGGCAAAGGGCAGCCAAGACCAAACCACAGAGATGGTCGGCTGGCACAGCCTCTCTGGGGCACTCGGGAGCCTCTGACAGCCCCAGCCTGGGTCACATGCCCCTGCTGGCCGCCCAGTGAGTGGAAGTGGGTGATGGCTGATCCATTTCTGTTTCGGTGATGGGAGGTGTGGGTTTAAGATAATTCCCCAAATTGGAAGAGTATTTGGAGGCTGAGCCACCAGCATGACAAATATTTTCAGTATTGCTGTTATTCGACCTCAGTAACGGTCACTACCTGGTTCTTTCCTCAACGCAGAGGCTCAAGGCTCTTTCTTGTTAAAACACCCTCCCTCATAAGACTTTCTCCTGCAACACATCGCCCTTCACTGCTGGGTTTCTAGAAAGGACTGTCCATACTGATAGTCCCCAATTTGTCACCATCCCTCCCAGCAGTCTGTCATTTCTTATCCACTGAAAGTGCCCACTAAAGTCACCAGGAACTTTTGGATGACAATCTAACTTTCAGTCTTTCTCTGCAAGAATTCAGATGCTTGGTGAAACCCTCCCCTCTCTCATTATCTGCCTTATTTCTTTTTTTGTTTTTTTAAATTTTTATTTATTGATTTTGAGAGAGAGAGAGAGAGATCGATTTGTTGTTCCACTTATTGATGCATTCATTGGTATTTTTTGGTTTTTGGTTTTTTTTTATCCTCACCCAAGGACATTTCTCCACTTTTTGTTCAGATAGAGCAGGAGGGAGAGAGAGGAAGAGAGAGAGAGAGAGAAACATTGGCATGAAAGGGACACATCGAGTGGCTGCCGCCCACACAACCAACCAGGGCCAGGGACAAACTGCAACCAAGGCACGCGCCCTTAGTGGGAACTGAACCCATGTCTCTCTGGACCGCAGGCCGACGCTCTAACCGCTGAGCCAAACCGGCCAGGGCTCATTGGTTAATTCTTTTTTATTATTTTTTTAAATTTTAAATCTTTATTGTTGTATGTATTACAGATGTTCCTCATTT